CTTCCGTAAAGCGCAGCCCGCGAGATTCGAAAACGGCCAGTTTCAAAGTGCTGGCCCTGCCTCCCGCCACCCCTACTGAGTCTGCTGCAGACTGTGGTGGGTCCGGCCTTCAACGAATGTCCGGTAGGCCGAGAACACTCACAAAAATCGGCCCACTATTTTTCCGGGGCGGCCGAGGACCCGAAAAATGTCCTTGGCGGCCCCTTTTTTTTTTTGATTTTTTGCTGGGGGGGGCGGTTCCGGACGTCCAGTACCGGACACCGGACCCCTACAAAATGTTTGGGGGTGTCTGGAAACCGGTCTGGAGGTCCGGGCGGTAACCATGCCTCTTCAGCCCAATCGAGACTGGCCCTGCTGGAAAACGGGTCCAGCGTCCCTTATACAAAAATAGTTTTGAGAAATAAAACTGAGTGAAAAGGAAGCACTGCCTCTTCAGCCCAATCGAGGCCGCCAAGTAATCATACTAATGCTAGCAGCACTAATCCTTCACAACATTTCCAACAAAAAAAGGATATCCTGAGTTGTATTCAAAAATTCAATCAAGACTGGCTTGGGGGAGCAGAAGGAGAAAGCTTGGGTGAGGTGAGATGGCCGGGAGATAAAGAGCAAGGGGTACCTCTAAAGAAGGATTTTCATCTCATCTTCAGGGACTGGTTCTCACTTCAGCCAGGAGTTACTCTTAGATCCCCAAAATGTTTCCCTGATCCCTTCCCACACTCGAAATTGACAATGGTTGATCTCCAATGGTATGCCTTGACTGATTGCGCCCTTTCTTCCCTTTGTCACTGGGGAACGGCACTCTGCCTCCAACGGTCTGCCCAGGATGCAAGTAGAAAAGGGGCTGGTGCGGCCGATACCGGCCCGAAAAATCATCAAAACATTTTTCAGGGGGTGGACCCGAGGAACAGGTCTACTGTGCCCCCGTTTTTTTTGGAATTTTGGGGTTTTGGGCCCTTCCGGACGGGCCTCCTACGGTCCGGCATCCAGACACCTAACAGCAGACTGTCCGGACGCCTGTCCGGACGTCCGGATGGTAGCCATGAACAGAAGTCTTTCCGCGTTTTTCATTTCTTTTTCAATTGAACGACACTGTCTTTCCTTGTGTATTTGCACTTCGGACCAGTCAGGATCATAACACTCACGAATCTCCCACAATAACTTGCAAATGCTAGGAAAGATCTCAATTAAATAGCAGTCTTTGGGTCAGGCCAATATTCCCACGTGCACAAAAGACAACATATGGCGGCGTATTATTCCACGTTCTGCAGAAGATTTATTCTAATTTTGCACATTTCGTGAGTAGTGCAGCCAAGCCCTGAGAATCACCTGCAGAGACCAACTGGGCCTAGCTACGTGAGCAACCCATAACTGGTGAAACACAGACCTGAATTCGAATCCTGCGTATATCTTCGGCCAGCTCGTGCTCTACTTCATATTCACTGGCTGCCTTGATTTTGGTGGAGGGTTTGCACTACATTGCTGCGAGGACCCTTCAGATTGCCTGCATGGGCCCTCTGAGCCGTGTTAAGGGGATCCGTT